ATTTCTTAAATTTTAAAACTTTTTGTAGAGGTGTAATGCTGAATTTTTTTTTATTAGATGCTTAAAAAATTAAAAGAATGACCATAATTAAATTTTATAATAGCGGGCTTGGGTTAAAAGATTTTTATAAATAATGGGTGGTTGGTTAAAAAAATTTAGACTAATGGGCGGACGGGCAGGTAAGAAATTTTAGATTAATGGGCAGATGGGTGGTTATATTTTTTTGAAAACTATGGGCGGGATGTGAGAGGGGGTTAAAAAATTTTAAAACATTGGGTGGGTGGGCTTATGGTCCAAAAACCCGACCAATGCAAGCCTCTACTCCATAATACCGAAATACATTTCAATTAAACTCAGACTATTCAAAGTTAAAAATCACCTTCGTAGATGATTTAATTGAGATTCCAAATCATCACATGAGGATCCCGGAAAGTCGTTATTCCAGAAAAACTTGTCGCGATGCTGTTATATAATATGTATAATAAAACGATTCTATTTTACAAGTATATCCATAATGGCTTAATTATTAAAATCATCGCGTTGAGATTATTACCAGCGCTGTAGATGTTACTTTAAGAATGAAAGAAAAGATAACCTCGTTACTTATGACGCAATTCAGGTCTGGGCCGATATTACTGTTTTAAAAAATCGGATCGGCCTTTCAAAAAAATCTAATCCGATATTATCATTATTTTCGGTTTCTTTTCTAATAAGAAAAGATTAAAAGGAACCAAAATTCAATTTATTTTTAAATAGTAATGCAAAAAAAAATTTAAATTATTTTTTTAAGATCATACGAAACCTAAAATTTCAACGTATTTCTTGTTTTATCCGTAGTTTAACGTTAGGTATTTTTTGCATAGAAAATATATTTCTTTTTATGACATTGCCGTTCAAAGCTCGATGGCAGATAAAATTTAATCGAAATATCGGATCTGAATTGGTTATAGGATCTGTTAAAAAATTGTGGATAGGTACAGCACTAATGTTATTCATCGAAAAAACTAAAAATAATAATTAACCATTCGAGGATTAACCCGGGTCGGGCAAAGAACCGAGTTGATGGAGAAACATTTTCTTCCCTTCTTTAGCAATTTATCGGATCCGCTTCGATTAGCACGCCCGTCCAACCCAACCGTTTTTCGAAAAATAGGGTGTTAGACCGAGTTTCGCCGTCATAAGCTCCGCTTTCTACGAAGAATCCAGTTTTACCTTTAGGAACCTTTCCTTAAATAAAATCAAATATAAAAAACATTATTTTAAAAGGTTTAAATTAGTTCCTTTGTTATCTGATTGAAGCTGGTGTTATTCCGACTTATTTTCTTACGAATAAATCCCAATTTTATTCATTTGTGCACCCCGTTTATCAAAAAAAATAATAAAACCTGAGCAAGGCATATATTTAAAAATTAATATACAAAATATGATACAAATTAATAATTCTACATTAATTTTTGATAACTTTGCCGTGAATTCACACTAAATGTGAATGCAGGGTAACGAAGCATATAATATTCACGTATTTTTATTTTCTTTGAAACATTTATACTAAATACAGCCAAAATCATTCGAAATAAACCTACAAAAATAAGAATCAAACTAATAATAAAAACATCATCCGACTTCCTTTGTCGAATATTCGATTATTATATTCTTTAAGAATATATTTTAAAAATGAAAAGATGCATTATTAAATATTTTAAGTGTATATTTGGAAATAAAGTTTATGAAAATAAAAAGTTTCTCAAAGTACAAGTTAAATACTTCGAATAATTTAAGATATTTCTATATAATTTTATATTTACGAAAGTTTCAGATTATACGTATAATTTCTACTAGATAAAAAGTGATTCGACAAATAATATATTATCCTTATCCGTACTCGATTAGAATTTTCTAATTGAATAATTTTGTATATGCGTAGGGATGTGTCGATCCATAAATATTTCACTGATTCGATATTCTGATATTACTACAAAACCGATCCAATAACCATTACCAATCCCACATTTAACTTGATTTTTTCAGAGTTCGAAAAAAAATCTTCAAAAAATTTTTAGTTTCATTTCGAAAGATTTCTTATGCATGAAAAATTACAAAAGATTTTGAAATTTTTAGGTATAATTTGATCATAAATCTCTGTTCTTCGTATATCTTTAGGCTGAGTCCAGGTTCGATTTAATTTGATATTAAACATTGCTGTTTAGTTTAGCCTGATACCCCATTTTGGTATGTTTTAAGCATAGTTATATTAATATAAACTGCTCAACGCCCAATCCTAAAATTTTAAAAAACGTCTTTTATTTGACAGCCATTTGCTCGATTAGTCTATGTTTATGATGATATCGTTAAATATTTTAAGTATTTATGAAATTTTTTATTTAACTCGCTATAAAGATATAACATTTTTCAAAAGGATATTAAATATTTTTAAAAAATTCATATTTTAATGAATATAGAAAATAAAAAATATATAATATATATTAATCAATTTTTGTTATAATAATATATAATATATATATATAAGCCTTGTCACACTTTCACAATTTATAACATATATTTAAAAAATCGTTAATTTTGAAAAATGTCTGTGGCCCAATCAGCAAGAACGTCGCTTACAAACCTGATAGACTTAGGTTCGAATCCCAACAATGTATTTTTTTGATCATTTTTTTCTTCATCTAACTTGATGGTTTCACCCATAAGGAGATGATAATCTCCTTCTCTACAATATATATAAAAGCCGTGTCACAGTATTTAAAAAATCGTGAATTTTGAAAAGCGTCTGTAGCCTAATCGGCAAGAGCGCCGCTATCAAAAAAATAATTCAAATATATCCTAAATACAATACCTCTGGGAGACTTTGGATCAACAAACTACGTAGCAAGTGGAATAATTTCATCATGAAGGTCATTTTGGAAACTACTATCTAAAGGCAATGCATTAATTATAATAAAAACATTAAAAATAATTATAAGGCTATTATTCAAAAAATAATTATAAAGATTATCATTCAAAAGATAATTCAAATATATATCCTAAATACAATACCTCTGGGAGAGTTTGGATCAACAAACTCCGTAGCAAGTGGAATAATTCATCATAAAGGCCATTTTGGGAACTACCATCTAAAGGCAATGCATTAATTATAATAAAAACATTAAAAATAATTATAAGGCTATTATTCAAAAAATAATTATAAGGTTATCATTCAAAAAATAATTCAAATATATATCCTAAATACAATACCTCTGGGAGAGTTATATCATTATAATTTGAGCTAAAATATTTCTGAAATAAAAAATATATTGTTAAAAATTGAACGCCTTTATTTAACAGCAATAAATGGTGTCATATAAAGTTATTTTATTTTTTTATTCAACACGCTTGTTTTTTTTCTTTAACAAACAAATATTAAAAAAAAGTTGTTTATTATTTTTTTTAGTAAAATTTTTTTTACGTATTTTAATAAATTTTTTTACGTATTTTTTTTATCTAATGGAAAAAATAGTAATTTTAAAATTGATGCTTATTTAATATATTTTTATTTAATAGAAATTAAGATATAATTTAGAACTAAAAGATTTTTCTACTTTAAAACAGTTTGTGAGTAATTATGAGAAGAATACCTTATCAAATTATTATATTTAAAACATTTATATTCCAATTGTTAAAATTTTTTATAGATGTTGAGGAATTTAACAATATTCCCAAACAATAGGGTCAATTAATGGGATTAATTGAATGTCTTATTTAATCATGAATTAGGTTTTTATTATAATCTTTTGATACAATTAAAAATGTAATATTTCATTATATAAATTAACCTTCATGCAATTTTGTCATATAATGTTAATAAAGTAAAACAACCTATATATCCTGGTAAACCAGACTTGTTATGCTTTTCATATTTATATAGATGCATGGCCTAAGCTTAATGTTCTAAGATTTATAAATACAATTTTTTATTATAATCGTAAGGTGAATGTAATATCAAAATTTACTAAATAATATTTATTCAGTTTGATATTTTATATATAAAAGTAAAATATTTTTGTTAGCTTATTAAGACATGGTGACAGATTTCTTAATAAAGTAAAATATTTTTGTTAGCTTATTAAGACATGGTGACAGATTTCTTAATCAAATCCCAAATATGCTATTATTTTTTTACATAACATAAAAATAAATTGGCTGAAAGATACTAAAATAAATTGCAAGGGACTTGTGAAAAACATGAACATCAATGTCTACAGCTTATTCTTATGTCATTGAAAATTTAGGAAAGGCTTCAAATTTTGATCTCTTCAATAAATTGTTTCAAATAATTCTTAATATTATAACTTTGCTAATTATGTTACTCCTAATATTTCTATTTATTGGATTTTTACAATCTGTTTTATATTTGTTTAAATCATTCAAACCTTAAAATTTACTTTATTTTAATATTTATTATATTGTGTAATTCTTATAATATTTTTAATGGTGATCAGGCATTGCAAAAAACTATTCTATGAATCCTTCTATGAATATATCTTAAACAATATAATTTAACATAAAGAATTATTTTTATTCTTTTTTTTGTCGAAAATATTGAATGTTTGTTATTTATAACACAAGAATCTATTTTATATTTTTTATTCTATATTTTAGAAATATATTGAAAATATATATAGAAATAAAATTTGTAAGAATACAATAATATATTATAATTCTATATATATATAGTTAAAATTATGTATTATAAAATACAATAATATATTATAATTGTAAATATATATACAGAAATAAAATTTGATATATTAGAATACCATATAAATTATAAATTGCTTTTTATTAGGTTTTTGAAATCTTGATTGTATTGTTTTCTGGAAGCTCTATTAGATTGTATTTGGTTCCTATATATTTTTAAATTTAATATAAACATTCTAAATATATAATTATTTGTTTTATTTATGGTTTCCTAAAAAAATTTTGAAAGATTTTGAAGAGAATATTTAGTGTAGTCTAAAGTTTTGGTTGCTATAATTTTTGTTATATAAAAAAAAGGAAATGTTTACTATTTGGTAGCTTAATTTGAGTGCCTAATATATTTTTTGAAATATTTTGAGATGAAGAGAATTCGAATGCTATTTTTATTTTATATTTAATAAAAATTAAAACACAAAATATACTAGCTGGAATAGTTTTTGACTGAGGGCCTAAATTTTTTGGTATATTTTGAAAATGATATTGAGAATATAAGTTTGTTGCTATTTTTTTGTTAAGTAAAATGTTTACTCTCTGGTATCTTAACTTGAGTGCCTAACATATTTTTTGAAATAATTTGAGATGAAGATAATTTGACTGCTAATGTATTTTAATAAACAATAAACATTTAATTTTTAGTGATACCATATAGTTGAGTGTTTTCTGTATTGGAATGTGGTAGGTTAATCGTTTCAGTCATATTTTGATTAGCTTGGGAAAAATCTTTTTTAAAATACATGTATATTATAATATCATTTTCAAAAATTGCTAACTGTGAAATATTTTATAATTTTTAAATAATACTCTTTTTTTGCATTTTTTTAGGCCTTTTGTGTATTGATCCTCGTTTGTATTTTATGGGCATTTTAATATTTTTCATTATATTCTTATCCCATTCTTGTAAAACTAATGAAATTTTATCTAAAATTAATCCTTTTTGAGAAGAATAATGAGCTGATGATTATTCTTCTCATAATTACTCACAACATGTTTTAAAGTAGAAAAATCTTTTAGTTCTAAATTATATCTTAATTCCTATTAAATAAAAATATATTAAATAAGCATCAATTTTAAAATTACCATTTTTTCCATTAGATAAAAAAAATACGTAAAAAAATTTATTAAAAAAAATACGTAAAAAAAAATTTATTAAAAAAAATAATAAACAACTTTTTTTTAATATTTGTTTGTAAAACAAGCGTGTTGAATAAAAAAATAAAATAACTTTATATGACACCATTTATTGCTGTTAAATAAAGGCGTTCTAAAAATTTACTTCATAATGAAAAAGAATTTCAAATTAAATTGTATTATATAGAAATATTTCTAATTTGACAGCCTCATTCAAATCTGACGTTTTAAATTAATAATGCGAGATTTTAAAAATATCTATGAGATTTTGAAATATTGAATAGCCGTGAGATTTTGATGATTTAAATGGCATGTATTTGATGCGGTAAAAATCAAAATCTCATGAAATTACTTTCACACGGTGTCAGCCGTGAGATTTTGATGGTGTGAGAATTCGAAATCTCACGGTAATCACTTTCACACGTTACACAGGGTTAAATCAGGCAATGTGTAATTTTTGTAATATTATATTATTAATAATTTTTTCGTTATCATTAATAATTTTTTAAGATTAATATTATATATTTTTTTTATATTTTAATTTGTTACAATATATTTTTTGATTGATATTTTTCTTTTTGATCGCTAATTTTTTTTATTTTTTGTGTTATATGTTTTTTTAATAAATTTTTTTAAATATATATTTTTGATTGATATTTTTTTTTATATTTTTTTTTTGTGTTATATGATTTTTTAAATTAATATTTTTAAATATATATTTTTGATTGATATTTTTTTTTTAATATATTTTTTTGATTGATATTTTTTTTTTATATTTTTTTTTGTGTTATATGATTTTTTAAATTAATATTTTTAAATATATATTTTTGATTGATATTTTAATTTTTTGTGTTTATATGATTTTTTTTAATAATTTTTTTGATTGATGTTTTTTAATATATTTTTTTAATAAATTTTTTTAAATATATTTTTTTGATTGATATTTTTTAATATTTATTTTAAAAATGATTATTATATAATTATATTTTACGTAATTTCATCTATTATCTACCTTTTGATAGATAATTTTTTAGGTAATAGTGACAAATGTCATAATCGTAATTTTTGAACTTTTTTGAGTTTTGTAAAAGCAAATAGATAAAAATATGTTTTGTAAATATGTTAAATTAATATTTCAATGAAAGTGTACTAAGTGAAAGTGTAGTGACAATTGTCATAATCGTTATTTTTGAACTTCTTTGAGTTTTTTTAAAGTAAATGGATAAAAATATGTTTTGTAAACATGTTAAATTAATATTTCAGTGAAAGTCATTATGAAAAAGTGACAATTGTCATATTCGTAATTTTTGAACTTTTTTGAGTTTTTTTAAAGCAAATAGATAAAAATATGTTTTGTAAATATGTTAAATTAATATTTCAGTGAAAGTGTACTATAGAAAAGTGACAATTGTCATAATCGTTATTTTTGAACTTTTTTGAGTTTTTTTAAAGTAAATGGGTAAAAATATGTTTTGTAAACATGTTAAATTAATATTTCAGTGAAAGTGTACTATGGAAAAGTGACAATTGTCAAAATCGTTATTTTTGAAATTTTTTGAGTTTTTTTAAAGAAAATGGGTAAAAATATGTTTTGTAAACATATTAAATTAATATTTCAGTGAAAGTGTACTATGGAAAAGTGACAATTGTCATAATCGTTATTTTTAAACTTTTTTTAGATTTTTTAAAGTAAATTGGTAAAAATATGTTTTGTAAACATATTAAATTAATACTTCAGTGAAAGTGTACTATAGAAAAATGACAATTGTCATAATCGTTATTTTTAAACTTTTTTAAGTTTTTTTAAAGTAAATGGATAAAAATATGTTTTGTAAACATGTTAAATTAATATTTCAGTGAAAGTGTACTATGGAAAAGTGACAACTATTATAATCGTTATTTTTAAACTTTTTTAAGTTTTTTTAAAGAAAATGGGTAAAAATATGTTTTGTAAACATGTTAAATTAAAATTTCAGTGAAAGTGTACTATGAAAAAGTGACAATTGTCATAATCGTTATTTTAGAACTTTTTTTTAGATTTTTTAAAGTAAATGGGTAAAAATATGTTTTGTAAACATATTAAATTAATATTTCAGTGAAAGTGTACTATGGAAATGTGACAACTATTATAATCGTTATTTTTAAACTTTTTTAAGTTTTTTTAAAGAAAATGGGTAAAAATATGTTTTTTAAACATGTTAAATCAAAATTTCAGTGAAAGCGTACTATGGAAAAGTGACAATTGTCATAATCGTTATTTTTGAACTTTTTTTAGATTTTTTAAAGTAAATGGGTAAAAATATGTTTTGTAAACATATTAAATTAATATTTCAGTGAAAGTGTACTATGGAAAAGTGACAATTGTCATAATCGTTTTTTTAAACCTTTTTTAGTTTTTTTAAAGTAAATGGGTAAAAATATGTTTTGTAAACATGTTAAATTAATATTTCAGTGAAAGTGTACTATGGATAAGTGACAATTTTCATAATCGTTATTTTTAAACTTTTTTAAATTTTTTTAAAGTAAATGGGTAAAAATATGTTTTGTAAACATGTTAAATTAAAATTTCAGTTTAGATATGTTTTATATTTTTAAGTCACTAACAGTAATATCAACAATAATTTATTTATATATTCAAAATTAATGACGAGATATTTTCCTGCAAATCGACATTCCTTGATTTGATTAAATTCAAGATTTTATTAATAAAACATTTATCACTTCAAATGATAATAAATTTCACTATTATGATTAAACTTTAATCTTCATAACATCCGGAAATGTTTTTATAATATAATTTATAATAGTAGGCCAATATAAGATTAAAATAATTGTAAGATTAATTTATTTTTTCCTAAAATGTTAACTACGAAATTTATTTAAATATAGAATCCTGCATCGGTTATTTGTATATCAACTAACTGTAATATCTTTGACTTATTTATTTCAATTCTGTGAGTAAATACATTTTAAATATTTATTCACTTTAGTGAATGATCTGAAATTACAAGTTAGACCTACTATTGAAATTTAAACCTATCAAAGTATTAAATAGCTTTTCGAAAATGAATATAATTACGAAATTAATTTTAGCATTTTCAAAGTTAGCCCTCATATTTATATTTGTTTTAAACAATTACTAAGATTATACACCAAACATTCTAAGTTTTTTTCGAAAAATGAAGGCCTTTAGATAATTTTTTTTACTATATTTTATTGAATTATGCTAGGCTCTCTCTTTGAGAAGGCCGTTGGCCAATTTATGTTTTAAATTTTCTTCGGGTGTATAATCTTTTTGTAAAATATTTCTCACAAATTTTATAAGGTCATTAATTCATTTTTTTATATTTTTGTTACATCATATACGCACTTTTAGTTATTTGATAGGGGTTAATTCTTTATTATTTTAAATAAAATTTACCAAATCAGACACATTTGGTAAAATGGGTGGGAATTCCCCCCCTCCACCCCCATCATATTTATATGCTTCTTAATATTATTAAAATATATTTTTACAATATATTATTAACGGAAATCTGGTAGCAAGCCTTCCCTATAAGATCTCGTAAGATTTTGTATCTTCACAATAGAAAAAACAATATTTACAACTCATTTTTATCATTTATTTTGACATTTATTATTTGTAGCATGACAATGTGAGTTGCAAGACATTTTAGATGCCTTCCATTTGCATCTATTGGTTGTGCAATTTTGCTTGCAATGACAAACTACAAATTTATTGTCTGACGTTGATTCTTTTCTAATACTTTGATAGATTTAAATTTCAATAGTAGCTCTAACTTGTAATTTCAGATCATTCACTAAAGTGAATAAATATTTAAAATGTATTTACTCACAGAATTGAAATAAATAAGTCAAAGATATTATAGTTAGTTGATATACAAATAACCGATGCAGGATTCTATATTTAAATATATTTCGTAGCTAAGATTTTAGGAAAAAATAAATTAATCTTACAATTATTTTAATCTTATATTGGCCTACTATTATAAATTTTATTAAAAAAAACATTTCCGGATGTTATGAAGATTAAATTTTAATCATAATAGTGGAATTTATTATCATTTGAAGTGGTAAATGTTTTATTAATAAAATCTTGAATTTAATCAAATCAAGGAATGACGATTTGCAGGAAAATATCTCATCATTAATTTTGAATATATAAATAAAAGAGAAATTAGGAATTTTATTGTTGATATTACTGTTAGTGACTTAAAAATATAAAACATATCTAAACTGAAATTTTAATTTAATATGTTTACAAAACATATTTTTACCCATTTACTTTAAAAAACATAAAAAAGTTCAAAAATAACGATTATGACAATTGTCACTTTTCCATATATACTTTCACTGAAATATTAATTTAACATGTTTACAAAACATATTTTTACCAAATCTAAAAAAAGTTTAAAAATAACGATTATGACAATTGTGACTTTTCCATAGTACACTTTCACTGAAATATTAATTTAATATGTTTACAAAACATATTTTTACCCATTTACTATAAAAAATTTAAAAAAAAGTTCAAAAATAACGTTTATGACAATTGTGACTTTTCCATAGTACACTTTCACTGAAATATTAATTTAACATGTTTACAAAACATATTTTTACCCATTTACTTTAAAAAAACTCAAAAAGTTCAAAAATAACGATTATGGCAATTGTCACTTTTCCATATTACATTTTCACTGAAATATTAATTTAATATGTTTACAAAACATATTTTTACCAATTTACTTTAAAAAATCTAAAAAAAGTTTAAAAATAACGATTATGACAATTGTCACTTTTCCATAGTACACTTTCACTGAAATATTAATTTAATATGTTTACAAAACATATTTTTACCCATTTACGATTATGACAATTGTCACTTTTCCATAGTACACTTTCACTGAGATATTAATTTAACATGTTTACAAAACATATTTTTACCAAATCTAAAAAAAGTTAAAAAATAACGATTATGACGATTGTCACTTTTCCATAGTACAGTTTAACTGAAATATTAATTTTACATGTTTACAAAACATATTT